CCATGACATGAACACTGGCTACCTCTGCATGCATGCAGGTGCTGCTTACGACACCAGCTACACCGGAAGAGAGGATGAAGGAGATTACAAAAGCTTCCGAGGCTTTGTTTACCTTGTATGTGCCTGACATATATATTAAAAGAACCCCTAGTGTTTGGCTGTTTGCTGAAGTTTAGCTTGTGTCTTCGTATTTGCTCATGACATTTATGTTTCCGTGTGTCGTCGTCGCAGGTGAGTGTCAATGGAGTTACAGGTTCCCGCGCAAACGTGAACACGCGTGTCGAGTCTCTCATCCAGGAACTTAAGCAGGTACAATTATAAAGGAAGTGAATAAAAATTCATCTTTTTCATAGTAGCCGACAACGCACGACATGATAACATATCATGGAATAATACTGTCAACAATCACTGATGAGCTTGTCTTGCTGCTTGCATTCAGGTCACTGATAAACCTGTGGCTGTTGGATTTGGCATCTCCAAGCCTGAGCATGTAAAACAGGTAGGTTGATTTTTTTTTAAATACCGCCTCTGATTTATTTATATTTACTATATATGCATGTTGGTCTCGTTGGTTTATCGCGAGATTCAACTCATCATGTGTATACCTTTCGCTGAACAGATTGCAGAGTGGGGTGCGGATGGAGTGATCATTGGGAGTGCAATGGTGAGGCAGCTGGGTGAAGCAACATCTCCCAAAGAAGGGCTCAAAAGGTTAAAGGAATATGCAAGGAGCATGAAGAATGCACTACCATAATCATGCAGAGATATAGTACTTAATTATATTATAAGGGTATGTGACTAGGAAATAAATAAATTGGTCTGATGACGCTATGTGATCAGTTAACTGGACGGAAGCACGTACTGGGGGCTGACTTTTCTCTTGGTTGATCTCTAGGCAAACAGCTGATTACTTGCCCTGTGCGTGTCCCCTTTTTATATTCACTGGCAAACGTGCCCGCGGGATTAAAAAAGTTATCAAACATTGATAGAAAACGGTGATGGAATGGTGCAGATCTATTTATGTGTTATTCTTTCTATAAATATTTAAAACAACAATTTATTTTATGATACACCACAACACGGCTTCACCGTCATACATCTGACGCTAAAAATTATATTTGGCGATGATGATCTGACCTAAAGATAACTGCGAATTAGTTTTCATTTAGCGATTTAATTTATGTCGCTAACATTTATTAGCGTTGATACATGTACATAAATTAAACATATGTATGTGACGGAAATCTTCTTTTTACATAAAAATAAGTGTCAAATTCAGAATTGAGCAAACTAAACATGGCCTTGGCATGATCTCTAGGCAAACAGCTGATTACTTGCCCTGTGCGTGCCCCCTTTTTATATTACTGGCAAACGTGCCCGTACGGTTGTAACGGGATTAAAAAAGTTATCATTGATAGAAAACGGTGATGGAATGGTGCAGATCTATTTATGTGTTATTCTTTTTATAAATATTTAAAAAAAATTTATTTTATGATAAAAGAAGATGTCCATCACATACACAACATTGCTTACCATCGAGACATCGCAACGCTAAAATTGATATATATTTGGCAAATGGATGATCTTTACGTAAATAAAAAAAGAAAAAAAAGTTAAATATGACCTATTACGTCCGCTAAATTCTCTTTAGGGCCAGGATTTAATGTCGGACGTAATTTTATAGGTCTTCATATTTCCTTCAGGGATGAACCATCGACGGTTCGCATATATGTATACCGCCATCCAACCCTAACTCCTCTTCGCTCTAAAAAACAAGTGGGCCCCACCTCCAGCTCGAAAGCGCCCCCAACTCTCTTCTTTGAGCTCCCGTGCCCCTCTTACATCAATCTCTTCACACATATTTTAGCTCCCATGATACGTTACCGCTTAAAAGAGGTCGTACCATCGATCTGTCTCCGGTGCCCCCTCGCAAAAAGAAGTGGAGATCCGCGCTGCATCACTCCGTGGTGTCGCCTAGGACACACCGAGGTCCGCTTACATAGGCCCAACCATCTCGGTGCCACACTTGGTGTTGCCGTAGATTAACACTAGTAGCAGGTGCGGATGCATAGAATTTAATATTAATATTAACATAAAAAAGATCCAACGCCGGGCTCAAACGCGGGATCTCGAAGACCACAAGTAGCAGACAAATCACTAGGCTATGATCACATTATGTTACTTGTTGCAGTTTCTTTTTTATCTATTAAAGTTTATTGCCGATATACTGAAAAAAGCCAATGAGGGCTTGAACCAGGGGCGCGCAGACCCAAAGAAGCAGCCTTAAACTAACTCCTCGAAAAATCATAAACGACATTGTTTATGTAGTCGAGTTTATGTGCAACCCATAAAATTGAAGTATCGCGTTAAACTTGCAAATGCAATTGTGAACATTATTAACTTTACGTAAATAAAAAAAGAAAAAAGTTAAATATGGAAGTGCTATTACGTCCGGTAACTTTAGCTTGGGCCAGGAGTTCAAGATCGGACGTAATTTTCGCAGGCCGTCTAGCACCAAACGTTTCCTTCACCATGGATCCAACCATCGACGGTTCGCATAGCTCGTGTGCAGCATGCCATCCACAACCCTAACTCCTCTTCGCTCTCACACACGCACCCGCCTCAGCTCCACCACAGCCGCCGCCCCCATCTCTCTTCTTCCACAGAACTGGCAGCACACGTCCACCCCTCTTCCTCTCACCACCTCTCTTCTCCAGATCGGGAGCAGTCTCCCCATGACTGGCGCGACACGCGTCCGACCATGGGCAGACGCCGGCCCCTGGCACCGCCGCTCACCATCCCTCCCCGGTGGCCCCCCCGGGCACCGCCGCCCCTTCCTGTGAGGCCGGAGCCGAGCCCGACGGTGGAGATCCGGCGCGGCGCATCCTCCGTGGTGTCGTCCTGGGACACACACGAGGTCCGTTGTGACGTTAGTACAGCCTCCTCATCCAGAGCAGCCAGCTGGATCCATGGCGCCGGATTCATGGTGAGGAGGGGCCAGATTCATGCTGGGACACTGGATCCCGCTGCTCCTCACCTACGCCCACGCCTGCGCCGCATAGGAGGACCTCCCCAATCGCAACGACGGTATGGTAGTGCCGTCAAGGTTCTCTTGCTCACTCTATCCCTTTTACTAAGATTGATTGATTTTTTTCTGGTGTATGCATTCATGATGATTGTACTTGCTGGAGGGTTGCTTTGTTGCTTAAACAGTTAAACATGACCTGATTTTAAGAGTGTGTTGAAGATTGTTTTTTTTTTTTATAAAAGTGTTGAAGATTGTTTTGCCTACTTTCCACGTGAAGCAGAGAAAATCTTTGTTCCAAAGGCCTTTAGCAAGGTGAGACAGGACTAAACTGACAAGATTTTTTTTATACATGCTGCATTGCAGCAATGCTCGAGTATTGGGCTCATCAGTAGGCAAGTAATTGCTATATATGATACATCATGCATGCCTACAACAGTTCAAGCCAATGAGTGTTAGGAAAATCCTAAAAATGGTGTTTAAGCCAATTTGCCATATGGTTGCCCTAAGAATTTTGGGGGAATTTAACATCAGTTCAATTAGATGCTTGCTGCTTGTAGATCCCTCTGTCATCTATGTTGCTTTTAGTTTATAAATTGTCACAGCTTTGTGTTGTGTATATGATAGCACTAGAGAAGAGGTGAGGTGCTGGAAGAAATAGTCCTCACATTGGTTCCTTGTTTGGATGGAAGAGGAGTGGTGACAAGATTTAAGTTGTGTTTTCTGGAAGAGGAGTGGTGATAGGAAATTGGCTTGAGATATTTGTTTGGTTTATTTAGCGTTTCTAGATATTTTTGTGTAATTTAAAATTGCACCTCATGGTTCATCGTGTTTATATTATTAAACACACACTGACTGCTAGATAACATTTGGTTGGGTTCCTGGTTGACACTTGGGTTGGATTGGATTGGATTGCAGCTCATGTTGTCAGGAATAATAGAATGATGGACATCTGTTTTTGGCCACACCAGCAATCTCAAACTTCCCTCTACAGCAAGACAGCTGTAGCTAATTTCTTCAATTTCCATCAATGTTTCTTGTGAGCAAGCCTACACTAATTTCATAATCTTGAAGCTAATCATATCTTCACTTCGTTAGCTCCTATTTTTTGTTGAAGGGCAGGTTTAGGCACAAACCACAAACTGACTCCACAGATCGGATATGAATGGGAGCAAGTTCAGAGTTATAGTCTTTCAGGTTTTCGAAGGTTCAATCTTTTAGTCTTTCATGTTTCCTGAAAACAGCAGATTCATGATTCAATATTTCAATTTTGTAGTTTGTTCCCTATCTGGCAAATTCTTAGTTGCCAGGTGTCCAACAGTCGGCCTGGTTGTATGCAATGCAAGGAAACAAAGTTCAGGTGATATTCAGTCTTTCAGTTTTTTGTTTCACCAATTCAAGTGGACAGATCCTGATGCTATGTGTTTCAAATTTTTTATCTGTCAAGTCTAACAGACAGATCGTGAAGCAGTTTGTTTAAAATTCAGTCTTCCATTCCTTCATGTTTTCGCCTAACACTGTCACCTGTCCGGCAAATTCAGACCTGCAGTTCTTTAAATTTCAGTCTTTTGCCATGTAGATCGCCTCAAGTCCTGCCATTACATGGCAAAATCATTCTTTCTATTGCCATGTCGATGGTTACATCATTCATTTCTTCAGTTAAATAAGTATCGCCAAACCTGAAATATCTTAGTATTGTCTGTTACTTCTCTGCAGCTTATAGGCAAGAGCTATGTAATGTTTTTGTGCTTGATTAAACTCAGGTGGAATCACCTTAGCTTTTAGTTCTCTGATCTCAGATCAAACATTGATAGAAAACGGTGATGGAATGGTGCAGATCTATTTATGTGTTATTCTTTCTATAAATATTTAAAACAACAATTTATTTTATGATAAAGACGACGTCCATATGTTATAAGTTAATGTTGGCAATAGTATCACATTATTATCTTATTATAAGTTGTTTGGCGTCGCCATGGCGCTGAACGGCTCTCCTTCGCTTTCCGACGTACATCTTAACGATGATGGCCTGCCCGTCGCACACAACGGTGTGCGGCACCAGCCGGTCTTCTTCCTCTTCATCGCCGCGCCCAGCCTCGCCTCCGTTGGCTGGGCAAGTCTATGCACCTTCCTCTTCCTCTACATGTCACTGGTACATACGTGTACATCGTATTTATATTATAAATATGCATATATATACAACATGCATGTACTGACTTTGTATGTATGTACGTACAGGTGATGCGCATCAACCTGTTCAGGGGCGTCCACTTCTCGCTGGTGTGGTGGGCGTACAACGTTCCCGATGACGAGCGTAGCCTCGCGACGGCGGTGACCAACGTGCTCACCAAGGCACTGGCCGTGGGGCTATCCGGGATGGCGTCCATCACCATTGCCGGCGTGCTGATGACCACCATGTACCACGCGTTCGTGCGCAAGGACCTGTTCCCTCGATGTGTCCATCGATGTCACGCAGCGGCCCAAGGCAAGTTCAACAAGATCCTCGCGCACTTCCGTGCCTCTGGTGACGGCGTCAAGGACGTACCTCGTCTTCACCATCCTAAGCACGGCACCGCCGCACCGGCAGCGGATCCAACCCCAACAGCGCCAGCGAGTCGCCGTCGTCCATGGCGCGTGGCCACCGCAGAGCAGAGCCGTAGGCCACTTTCGATCTCGACACGGTTCTGATATACTTGTAGGTCCAACAGCTCGTCGTCGTCGATGATTTATACGACGACACAGTGCCATTGTCCAGCGAATAGTTAGGGCAGCAGAGCTTGCTGTGGAGGAGGCATGCCCAGCCACCGCCGCCCGAGTCGCCATCGTCGCAGTCCGCGACAACTTTGAGTCCGCCGAGACCGGAGAGACGAAAAAGTTGAAGCATGCTGGCTGTTAGGCTAAGCTGCCGTGCGGTACCTTGTGTGATCGAATCTCCTCCTGTTTAATTATGGTTTATTTATTTGGTATATGAGTAAGGCTAGTAGGCTAGCCGGATCGGATGCAGCGTCATGTACGTACAGAGACTACACGTACATGCAGTTTAGTTTAGTTTTTTTTTTCCGTGTTACAGACGGAGAATAGATACCACGTCCGTCGATCGGTTTTCTTTCGGCACGTGTTCCGTCCGTTTTGCGCTGTTGGCTTTGGAAGCAAACCGAGGTCGTACTTGACTCATGTTCCAAAAATAGACGTATTTCAGCTCGTTTGTTTTGGCTGAATTGCTCATATCTGACTTATAATTCATGGTTTGAATAATATTTTTCTCTCACACTAAACCAGCCAGCACTATTTTCAGTCATGTTTATAAGCCAATCCAGCCGAAACGAATATGTTGTTTGAGATTGAATCTTGATTTAGGAGGAGTCTTACATCTTACATGGTGAAAAAAATTCTTGGTGGAAATTTTGCTTCTTTATTATTAGGTATAGATATAGATATAACATAGTAAAAACTAAAGTTGATGGATGTTTTAGCGTGTTCGGCAGTGACCGGCGGCTGCAGTACTCAGCACATAAAGCCCAATTTCTCAAATTAATTATATGGATCCACTCAGCCAGGATGGAAGAAATTAGGCAACCAAATACACAATGACCTGCACTGGTGGAGCCCACTGCATCATTTTGGAACTCATCACGCCGCTCCACACACACCATGACACAGACGATTTAAGAGAAGGTAAAAATCCATTTTTAAACGATTTAAGAGAAGGTAAAAATCCATTTTTAAAAAGTGGTCCGCTACACAATCCCAGCAATTATAGAAGTAAGGCATTTGCAGCTGCCCCTGAAAATGATTTTCAAGGAGTCAACCGTCCCTAGAACATTTTTAAAATAAAAACAAATATTAAATTGCACAAAAAATAGAAAAAATTGCGGTGTCGCAAGCCTGAATCTTCTATTTTTAATACAATAACATCCACAAGGATTTGAATCCATGATCTCTTGGTTGGCATGAGCCCATCCTACTACCACACCATAGTCACTTATAACCAACAAATCAACGAACAGTATTTTAAGCCATGGCTTTTCAGCAAAACGAACGGGACAGGTATTTTTATATTAATTTTATATTTTTTATTTAAATATTTTTGACCAAATGATCTCATATCAAAAAGTCTAAACTAAAAAGTTTTAGATCATAACTTTGACATTTGAGGTCGTTTAAAAATTCAATTGAATTTAAAAATCTGGGAACTTAAAATAGAAATCTAAGTTTTTAACAATCTCCATAAAAATCTCGTCAACTATAAAGTTTTAGATCTTGTTATGCTCTACAATTACAACATAAAGTTTTGTCTTCATCCAATTTCATTTGAAAAATAGGAATTTAAACATTTTGATGCTATTTTTTTAATGTAAATTTGTTCGAAAACTATCCTTTTTTTTCTTGAGCTTCAGCTCCCCCTTTTGTTGTATCTGTTTCTGTTTTGTTTAGACCTCCTTTTTTAATATATTCCCAGCATCCCCTTAAAAAACACAATATTTATAAAGGAGGTATACTACAATCTTTTCAAGAGGTTGGACCGATGACATAGATTGCAGGCTATGCATAAACAGCTTGGAAAGCCCAGCAGTGTGCAAGGACTGCTCATTTACCAAGGAGGTCTGGGGCTATACAAAGCAATGGTTCTGTCTATCTGTGTTGGACGCAGTAAATGACACAGGTTCTCTCTACGCATACTGGTGGAGATGCCGACGCAAGATTAATAGGAACCAAAGGAGAGAAGTGGATGGAATCTTCATTTATTTCTGGTGGAACATCCGGAAAGAAAGAATAGAAAGATTTTCTAGAACAGTTATCTTAACCCAATACTTCCTCCGGTTCTCTAAAGCAAGTCGTTTTAAGGTTGTCTTAAGTCAAACATTTTAAACTTTGACTACAAATAATTTCTTTTGGGTTGAGTTTGAAAATATAAAAGCGATGTAAGTAGATTCGTCTTGAAATGTAGTTTCATAAAAGTATATATATTGACTATATTTTATAAATATTTTATAGCAAAAAGTAGCGGTCAAAGTCATTTCTTAAAGACCGTGTCGATGTCCAAAATGACTTGCTTTAGAGAACCGGAGGGAGTACAAGTTGCTTTCCTTTGCAAGGATGACATTATGCGGTATTGTTTAGCTTTGGCGCCAAGGAACGAGGAGCAGCATTTTTAGTAGTGGATCAGTAGTGTTTTCGATTCTTATGTTGTTGGTATAAGCCTGTGGTATGCAGTTGTGGTTGTCTTTTCAGCTTTAGGTGGGGAGGCCCTGCGGCGGCAGATCTTGTTCCGCCGAGTGTTGTAAATTACTTGTGTAGCTCTTTTTTTTTTTTTTTATCGTCTAATAAAATTACGTAAAGCTTTTACCACTTTTTCTAAAAAAATATTAACGGCTCTTAGAAATAAATAGAAACTATTGTAAAAAGTAGTCACGCGTAGCAGGCTAGCTGCCAGCGTTGCTTGCAACACAGACATTATTGATAGGCAAGTCTGCTGCTCAAAGCTGCAGGGCATCACACCATCACACAGTACATTTTCGCGCATATGTTGCACGCGGCACGCGCATTTGACTGTGCAGCCGAGCCTCCGGTGTCCTTCCGGAGTAGCAATAGCAACTGCTGCTGCTAGCACAGCCACACAGCTATTGAGCTATAGCAGCAAGAAAAGTCATACTACTACTTCTATAGACTATAGAAGCAATCGTGTACGGAATGTATATATTGCATACTCTCTCCGTCCACAAAACGTAATTCTTATTTTCCGAGGAGTTAAACAGATTGAATTTGACTAAAATTATATTAAAAATTACTAACATTCATGTCGGGTACTAATATCAGGGTACCCGGACAAAAGGACTTAATAGGCCGCCAAAGCCACCTGGACAACTTAGGCCTGACAATGGTTTGTGGGAAAAAAAAAAGACTTAAAAAACTAGGTGGGTGTGAAAGCCAAAAGGACAAAATAAGTATAAAATATACCTTTTATCTTTATCTCTCTTGAAATGACTATGGAAGAGCTTTTATTCCACCAATTGAAAGAAGCCAAAGCCCAACATTGTCCGAACTACGCCCAGATATCGGTCCCTCCAAAAGCAGCCCTTTGGTTGGACTTTTTGGCTTTTGAGACATAAAACCAAAGTCCCAACCAAACCTCGCCCTTAGAATACGGCCCTTATCTCAGGCCTCATGGAATCGGCCCCGCATTGTCCGACGGCCCAGATATCGGTCCTAGCCCCTTCGACGGCTGAGACATAAGTCTCGCCTCGCCCGACCCCTCGGGCATGGAACCGGCTTCGCCTGAGGGGCAAAGAGCGAGCTCCGCCTCGCCCGACCCCTCGGGCGCACGCTCCGCCTCGCCTGATGGCTGGGGCATGGGTCTCGCCTCATGCGGCCCCTTGGGCACGAGCTCCGCCTTGCCCAATGGCAGCGGCGTGGGATCCGCCTCGCCAGACGACTTGACACGGGTCCAAGGGTCTGGCGAAAAGTGTCTAGACCCGCAGAGGGCCCAAGCTGTTCCCCTAACCACTCCGGGCGTGGGACTCGTACTATGGCGTCATGCCGTAGTATAGGAGTAGGAATGCCCCTACGACACCCGTAGGCCGTAGGCCACATCTGGCCATACTTAGGGTCACATGCCCGTAACAGTGTCAGGCGGACCGGCACTGTGCCGTCTAAGCCGTGTATGGCGCCAGTCAGGAAGGTCGTGAAAGGATCAAGATGCCCAAGAGGGGATGAATTGGGCTAATTCTAAAATTCTTTTGCAATAATTAAACCCTACGGTTAGCCCACTTCACCTCTTGTGCCAAGAAAGTGTTTCTATTGTTATACCGCACAAAAATTTAGCAACATATGTTCTAATCCTACTCTAGCATGGCAATTATATTAATGTAAAGACAAGAATTGAATTGCTCAAAGTAAATGCTTAAAGTAAAGAGAGAAGGAGGAACGCGGTGATATTTTACCGAGGTATCGGAGAGTCGCCACTCCCCACTAGTCCTCGTTGGAGCACCCGCGCAAGGGTGTAGCTCTCCTTTGATCCGCGCAAGGATCAAGTGCTCTCTACGGGATGATCAACACTGCTCTCTCACCCACAACCGCTTCTTGAGTTGGGTCATACATAAGCTCCGCGGATGATCACCAACCTACAATCACCACAAGCCATCTAGTTGATGGTCATCACCAAGAGTAACAAGCTCGAACTCTCTCATGATCACGACAAGCTACCATGATGGATGCCACTTTGCTACTCTTGCTTCACTAATGAGGTCTCTGGCGATCAAATCAAATCACCTCACTAACAAGCTTGGCACTCTCAATGGTGTTTCACGACAATGAGCAAAAGTGAGAAGGGTGGATGCAGGAAGTATATATACCCCTCATTCAAAACTTTCACTAATGAGGCATCTCTCTCGGTCATTCTCAAACGGTCCGATCAATCACCTCACTAGGACCTTGCTCTTCTTGGCACTCTCAATGGTGTTTCTCAACCTTCTTGATTTGGGATGAGCAAAAGTGATCCCTTGAGTGAATAGAGGAAGTATATATAACCCTCTCATTCAAAATAAATAATTATGTTATGTATAGCACCCCTAAATACTAACGATCCCTAAGTCTAACATACTCCCTCTCCTCCTTTGGCGTCAAACACCAAAACCTAAGGGTCGGTCAAGAGGGCTGCCGCGGCAAGTAGCCGAGGTCGAGGAGCGATC